TGCCGCTGTCGCGGCCCCGCCCTGCCGCCGACGCGACCCCGCCTGGCCCCACCCTGCCGCCGACACGGCCCCACCCTGCAGCAGCTGCCGCGGCCCTGCTCTGCCGCTGTCGTGGCCCCAGCCCTGCAGGTGACGCGGCCCTACTCTGCAGCCGCTGTTGCGGCCCCGCCGTCGCCGCCGTCGTGCGCCTACCCTGCCGCCGCCCGCCGAGCGCCAACCCTGCTCGCCCAGCGAGCACCTGCCCTTCCCGCCACTGGTGAGCACCTGTCCTACCCGCGCTTCCCGCGCGCCTGCCTTGTTAGCGCGCTGCCGCGCCATCTGCCTACCTGCCTGCCTGCCACACCTGCCCTGCCCGCGCTGCTACTGCTGCTACTGCTGCTACTACTGCTACTGGCGGTGGCCAGATGCAGCTCCAGCGACGTCCGCGCGAGTCTCTCACGCCCCAGCAGCTTCGTGAGTGGTATGCTAGTTGGGGTTGTGGCGGTAGCCGTCGTGGCTATCGCCCTGGAGCTGGTCAGTCAGGAGTGTCTTGCAGTGGCCAGCTGCAGCTGCAGCGGCGTCCGCGCGAGACACTTACGCCCCAGCAGCTTCGTGAGTGGTACGCTCAGAGTAGAGGGTCTCGGAGTACCGTTCGCTGCTCGTACGTCATTCGCACAGGTGATCGGGCTGGTCAGGCTTACGGGACGCTTGGTCACACACAGTCCCGCTGCTTCCCCCGTCTGAGCGACGCCTGGCGTACCGAGTTTGGCGACGACCCACCTGGCTGGAGCTGCTTAGGCAGAGGGTAGATATTTTTGCTCTTGACTATGATACTATTCTCACTGCCATGTATGCATTGCCTACTAGTGCTGACGGTGCCTGTTGCCTGAGTGTACCGCCTTACCCAGGTATAGAGCCTACTGCTCTAGGTGTTGGTGAGGCTGCTGCTCTAGGTGCTACTGCGTCTCCTGCTCCAGGTGCTAGTGAGGCTGCTGCTCTAGGTGCTGGTGTGTCTCTTGCTCTAGGTGCTGGTGAGGCTGCTGCTCCAGGTGCTGGTGAGTCTGCTCTCTCTGGTACTGCGCCTGCTGAGGCCTTGTACACCTTCACATTTCACTCAGGTGCTTCCCGCTCCTTCTTTCACGACAGCACCATCCTCACGCCGCTCAGTCGGCCGGTTGCAGTCTCCCTGGCAGGCCCCTCTGGGGGTCCAGTCCTTGCGCACTCCTCCACGGTCCTGCCGTGTCCGGCGGTCCCGTCTGGCTCCCTGTTAGGTCTTCACCTCCCCTCGTTCTCTACGAACTTGGTGAGTGGTGCTGACCTCCAGGACCAGTGGGTTGACCAGTTCACTCCTGGCGGTCAGCGCGTGACCCACTGTACGTGCTCTCGGACGGGCCGGCACCTGGCCACGTTTACCCGTGCGCCTGGCTCGAGTCTGTACACTCTGACTACTGTGTCCCCTCAGGTCGCTGCGTCTGCGTCTGCGTCAGGTCAGCTAGCGGCCCCCTGCTCGTGTCGCGCTTTGTCGCACCAGACCCTCCTTTGGCACCACCGTCTTGGTCACCCCTCGGTGCAGCGCCTTCGTAGCATGCACCGCCGTGTCCTTGTCTCTGGTCTTCCCAGGGTTCTCCCTCTCCTCCCACCCTCGCCTGCTCCTCCCTGTCTTCCCTGTGTCGAGGGGCGGCAGCGCGCCGCTCCTCACTCCTCCTCGTTTCCCCCGACGACTGCTCCCCTGCAGACCCTGCAGATGGACGTGTGGGGCCCAGCCCGCGTCAGTGGGCAGGACCGCGAGCGGTACTTCCTGCTGGTTGTTGACGACTACTCGCGTTACACCACGGTCGTCCCCTTGCGCACCAAGGGTGAGGTCTCTGGTGTTTTGATCCCTTGGATCCGCGTTGCCTGTCTCCAGCTCCGCGAGCGGTCCGGGACAGAGTTTCCCGTCCTGCGTCTGCACTCTGACACAGGTGGGGACTTTTCCTCCGACCTTCTGCAGAGCTTTTGTCGTGGGGAGGGCATTCGCCAGACGTTCACGCTTCCGGCCTCTCCACAGCAGAATGGGGTTGCTGAGCGCCGCATTGGCTTGGTCATGGAGGTCGCTCGTACCTCCATGGTCCATGCGGCTGCCCCCCATTTTCTGTGGCCGTTTGCGGTCCACTACGCCGCGCATCAGCTCAACCTCTGGCCCCGTGTCTCCTTGCCGGAGACCTCGCCCACACTGCGGTGGACGGGGGAGGTTGGCGATGCGTCGGTGTTCTGGGTCTTGGGTTCCCGTGCCTTTATCCGCGATACCACCGCAGACAAGCTCTCCGCCCGCGTTGTTCCCTGTGTCTTCTTCGGCTTTGTCCCTGACGCGCCTGGTTGGCAGTTTTACCACCCCACCTCGCGCCGTGTCTTCCCCTCTCAGGACGTCACGTTCGACGAGTCGGTTCCCTTTTACCGTCTCTTCCCCTACCGCACTGCCCCTCTCCCCCCCCCCGCCGCTCTTCCTCGCTCCAGGTGCTCCCCAGGTAGACCCCCTCCCCGCTCCCGGTCCTGCTCCTTCAGGTGTTTCTCAGGTAGACCCTCCTCCCTTGACTGCGCCGGTTGAGGTCACTGGTGACTCCGGTCATGCTGAGGGTGGTCCTCCTCGGGGTGCTGCTTCTGGGGGTGCGGAGCCTGGGGGTGCTGAGCCTGGGGGTGCGGAGCCTGGAGGTGCTGAGCCTCTGCGTGAGGAGTCTGGGGGTGCTGAGCCTGGGGGTACTGAGTCTGGGGGTGCTGCACCTGGGGGCGCTGAGGCGTCTAGTGAGCAGTCTCCCTGGAGCGGCCGTCTCCGTAGTCGCTCCGCTAGTGCCTCGCCGCTGTACTGTCGTCGTCGTCTCCCTCTCTCCCCACAGCAGCTGCGTGAGTGGTATGTTAGCCGTCAGGGTCGAGCTGTTGGAGCTGGGGGCCCTGCTGCGGGAGGCGCTGGTGTTGGAGGCACTGGAGCCGGCGTTGTCCCTCTCTCCCCACAGCAGCTGCGTGAGTGGTACGCTAGCCGTCAGGGTCGCGCTGCTGGAGCTAGGGGCCCTGCTGCGGGAGGCGCTGGAGCTGGTGACTCTGCTACTAGAGTTGTTTCTACTGGAGTTCCTGGAGCAGCTGGTCCCAGAGGTGCTCGTACTGGAGGTACTGGAGCTGCTGGGACTGGAGGTCGTGCTGGACCTGGAGGTGCTGCTGTCGACTCTGAGGTTGGAGGCCCTGGAGCTGGAGGTGCCGGTTCTGGGGGTGCTACTGCTGGTGGGGCTGGAGCTGGAGGTTCTGGAGCTGCTGCGGGTGCTGGCGCTGGAGGTTCTGGAGCTGTTGGAGGTGCTGGTGCTAGTGGCGCTGGAGCTGGAGGTTCTAGAGCTGCTGCGAGTGCTGGCAGTGGAGGTCTTGGAGCTGTTAGAGGTGGTGGCGCTGGTGGCGCTGGAGCGGGAGGTTTTGGAGCTGCTGCGGGTGCTGGCGCTGGAGGTTCTGGAGCTGTTGGAGGTACTGGCGCTGGTGGCACCGGAGCTGGAGGTTCTGGAGCTGCTGCGGGTGCTGGCGCTGGAGGTTCTGGAGCTGCAGGAGGTGCTGGAGCTACTGGTGCTGGTGGCACTGCACCGCCGCGACTGTTCTTCGCTCCGCCGTCACCTTCGTCTCTACCATCGCCTGGCTCTGTGCTTCGCCAGGTTCTTAGCCTCCCGTCTTCTACTGGTCTTCCGTTACAGCCTGGCTCACCGCTGCCTGCTCCTTCTCTTTACACTGAACTGACAGGAGGTCTTGCTGAGCGTCGTGAGCCTGCGTCTCGTCCTGTCTCGCCTGTTCGCACTGTCCGCACTGGTCGTACTGGTCGTCGTGTTCCTTGTGAGCGTCCGCCGGCTGTCCCCGGCACACACCTCATGGCCCTGCGTCCTTCCTCTGCTCCGCAGCGTGCTCCCCTGCCGTCCCCTCCTGCGTCTTCTCTGCCTGACGTTCCAGAGCCTGAGTCTGACCGCGCTCGTGCTTCTCACCCTACTGTCACGCGTCTGCTAGCCACTGTCGTCACTGACCCGTCGTTTGAGTCTGCTGCTGCGTCTGCCTTAGTCGCTGAGCTTGTTGGCTTTGCTGCTGCCTGTCGTCTAGACTACGCCGTTAGTCTTGTTGCTGAGTCTGAGTCTGTCTGTCCTCCGTCCGTCGGGGGTGAGTGTGCTCTTGGCACGGACGTCCTTGAGGACAAGCAGGAGGACCTTGAGTGTCTTGCAGCCGCTGCGCCTCATCTCGTGTCCATGCTGCTTGCCCCTGAGGGAGACCCGCGATCGCCTCACTATAAAGAAACAGGATTACTTGAGGAACATGATTACTATAAAGAAACAGGATTAGGCAATAAGTGATTTACGTTAGTTGTAACAGCTTGTGGAAACTTGAGGTAGAAGTGCCTAAAACAACTGTTCTTGCAACTAATGTAATCATGCGAGTCTACAGTGACCCGGATCAACTTGAGCCAAGAAGCAGAGAAAATTTTGAAGGGGTAGGTGAAGGGAACCTTTTCAAAACAGTCCAATCGAAGCAAGTGCTGCTCTGTGTCCTGATAACGTCCCTTTACCTAAGTGCAACTGTCACCCAACGCGACTCTGCTGCAGTGATCATATTTTGGGTACTTCAAGACAGAAGCTGAGAGGGATGCAGCTTATCACGCACGGCTTGAGATCTTCATCAATGGAAAATACGTGGAGGGAGGTGATGCAGGGCGGAATGTGGGAGAAGAGAAGACAACGAACTGGGCAGCTTTCCAGAGAAGTATTCTGGCGAACCGCCAAGGATGGGCATAATCGCTAAGGAGATCCCCTGGTCCAGGAAGTGATTCGTGGACAGAGGAGCTATTAGCTTGGAACCAGCTGGCCCATACTATTGATGTTGAAGGATGGGAAACTTCTGAACAAGAAGAGACTGAACCTTTATTGATTATGCAGGGGAGGTGAAGTAACTACCCATGTAATGCCTTGAAGTACGATGTTGCCTTGTAAATAGCACTATTGTTGTATGGTCGTGCAATGCAACCCGCCTCAGGTTCAGACAGTTTTCCTCCTGTACAGCATAGGGGATGCTACATGGAAGCATCCAAACCGCCTATGGAGGAAGTCCAGGCCCTTCAAAAACAGCTGGTGCTGTCTCTCTGCTGCTGTCAGTGCAAAGCGGTAATCCACAGGCTGAGTGAATCTGGCCAGTGCAGTGTTGGGCTCAGTTAGATGAAACAAGGCAGGCGGGGCAGAAAGTGGAGCAGATGAGTGTGGGAAGTAGTTGGTCTCCCCATCAATGTCGTGTCCCTCCTCATCTTCCTCCCCATGCTCATCGATGCAAGTAGCATCACAATCTCCATCATACTCCATGTCATCCATGTCCTCTTCCTCTTCCTCGTCCTCCTCCTCCTCCTCCCCCTCTACAGTCACGTGAAGGCCCGTCAGTGTCGGGGTGTTGGAGAGTATCAAATGAAGCAGAAGCAGGCCTTCGGGTGCCTTTTCCGCGATTCTCACAGTAACAGCTTCTAACTGAGGCCATAAACAACCATGACTAGGTGTACCATCTGAACCAGTTTTCCCCTGTGACTGTAGAAGCCCCGAAACTGCAGCTGAGTCAACCATATTCTGCCACGCCAGCGCACCCAATCTCAAACTTTTCAACCCCGGGCAGTTCCGTGCAAGCCAGGGCAGCGACGAAACCGAGGGCAGGCCCGAGCTGGTGGCAAAAAAATCGAGGGAGAGCGACTCGAGCGCAGCCGAATTGGCTGAAATTAGGGTTTCGGTGGCGGGCCAGTTGAGCGAGCCCGCGCGGAGGTCGATCGACGCGAGCCGGCTGGAGCGAGGCGCGGAGACGAGCAGGCGGTTGGCGGAAGCGACGGCGAGTTGGCGCAGGTTGGGCGCATCGTGGATGCAGAGCGCGCTGAGAAACATGTCGCGGACAGAGAGAAATTGTAGGGAGCGCGCGGAGTGAAGCAAGACGGATTCCGCGCGGATGTAGGAGAGCGAGAGGTGCTGGAGGGACGGAGGAACGCGTAGTTTCAGGTACGGGAAACCCGACGCCATGAATATCGTGAGGTGACGGAGGTTCGGCGCGGCGTCAAGCACGGCGTGAAGGGCGGCGGGAGACGCGTGGAGCCACGAGAGCGAGAGGTGCTGTAGGGCCGGCATGGGCTGGAGAGTGGCGAGCAGGGTAGGAGCGGAGAGAGACACGTGGCCCAATGAGAGCGAATGCAGGTTGGTGCAGTGGCGAGAAATGTGCGCGAGATGCAGACTTGCGTCCTCCTCCTCCCACAGGTTCACCACCACGCTCCCGCCGCCGCCGCCGCCGCCGCTGGTGCCGTTGCCGCAAGGGCGCTTCGCGGAATTCGTGGCAGGAAGTGCGCGTGAGAGGGTGAGAGAGTGCAGAGACGGCCCGACGTGGCGCATCCACGCTTCAAAAATGAACTCCCGCGGATGGCGGGGCGGGGGGACTCCCCCAAATGGCGCAGAAGCCTGGCTGGCGCAATAATGCTGGCTGCAGCAGGCGCAATTTGCGGAGGAGGGGAGTTCCGCCGACTCGGTGGAGTAAGAGGGACGTCTGCAGAAAGTGGAAGGTCCGCGGCTTGGAGGAGCGGAACGTCCACTGGGAGTCATCATAGGACCGTGACATCCGCTTGACGCCGTCTGGCTGGGGTAAGACGGCCCTCCGTGGTTTGAAGGCGGTGCGGGAGGCGAGACGATGGTGAGCTGGCGCAGGGCTTGCGTGCGGAGGATCATTCGCGAGGCCTGGCACTGATGCGTGTGTGGGGGGGGCGTGGGGGGAAAGGAGGGGTAACAGGAGACTGAGCGCGGTGTAAAAGGACAACTCAACAAAGTATCCCCCAAAAAAGAAACACAGAACATCTCCTGGCCATCGAATACAAAATTCGAATAGAAAATTCCAGGTCCGCCATGGCTTGCTTGGACCGACACTCACCTCAAACGTCAAGTACGGCGCCTGGTTAGCTGCCACGCCACCGCCACTCGATTCCAGGCACAGCGCAGGCACATTGCGCGTCACGTCGTTCCACCGCCGACACGTCATCGCGGACCGGGTGACGTTACGCGCCGCGCTGTCCACGCGCGAGAGAACCGCGAGCAGCAGGTCGTCGGGGAGACGGGCGAAGGGATCCATCCTCGCTAGAGCTTGACCTTCAATTGATGACTGGTCGCTGCGAAGGGTTTCACCTTGAATTCTGATATCAGCCTCAAAGTCTTGGTAGCTCGGTCCTCTGAAGTTTGTGATGGTCAGCTGCTGATGGTTCCAAATGGTCGAATCAACGGTAGCATATAAACTTGGGCCAAGAGGCTTCAAGTTGAATCTCTTGCAAGAGCCTCGCTCATTTCTGGCCGTATAGAAGACGCAATTCAATTTCAAGTTTTCTGGGCTAGTAAGGAGACCAACAGGCTGCTGGTTCTCTCCTGCTCCGTTTCCTGCTCGTACAGAACTCTGCTGCTCCGATCCCAGCTCCTTTTCGTCGCTGTGTTCCGCCCTTCAAATGGTTCTTGCCTTGCTTCTGCAGCGAAAGTCCGAGGGTGTGTCGAACAGCAGCCAACAGCCAGCCAGCCAGCAGGGTGTGTCGCAACGCAGCCGGTGCGAACCACTGCCAGCAGCGCACGCAGGGAACGGCGCGATCGCTACTGACAAGGCGAGCAGCGGGAAAGGCGAGCGTTAGATGGCGAGTAGTTGGCGGGTATTAGCGGCGATAGATTGTGAGAGTATCCCACAGTCGACTCAGAAGCCGCCTTGTTAGGATAAGAGTGCTAGTAACGATAAGTTCAAGAGCAGCACCCTCCTTTCGAAAGAGAGGTTGCACGCCGCCCCCCCTCAAGGTAGCCTGCCTCGTGCTTGTTTCAGCTGCATACAGCGGTGTGCCACCTTTTGAAGTTTCGCAGACGTGACTCGGCTTTCAGCTGCAGTGGTGTCACACCGAGCGGGAGGGGTGCAGCGCGAGAGGCATGGCGCATTAGCATTCGAGCGATCCGAACCGCCGCCCAACCTAATCGAGCGGTGCTCTGGTTCTATGCAAAAAAATCATGGGTTTTCCGTCAAACTAATCTACTGGAATTCCGTCGCAAGACGCCATAGAGACCCGCGATCAAGCGCCTTTTGCCGCTTGTCGAAGGACGACCTGCCGCTCGCCTTGATAACCGTGAACAGTCGCGGTGCCACGTGGACACGCAGTAATAATCATTTCACGGCCGATCAAGCGTTTTTGCCCTAACACGTGGCTCCGCATCCCGTCCCGTACTGTAGTAATGCTCAGCCTCACAACGCGAGCTCTCAGCACACCATTGACGCCCTCTCGCCCCCCAAATCAAGTCGTCAAGGAGTGCGAGGAAATTCTACAGCCGTTGGGCATCTGTTATTGGCTCCAGGGATGCGGGAGAATCCTTCACTACTTGCAATACTGTAATGTGCGACAACGGAGCTTGGTGAGCCAAGAAAAGCGTGGCAGTCATCACAGTGCCTAATGCCTGCCTTTAATCGTCGTGACCTCATGAACCCTGCTGTAGTTTACAGGCAAGAGGAAGGAAAATATTCAACCGACGTGAAGTATCGTCGAAGGCAATAAAAAAGTCATGCGGATGTAAATATCTCCTACAAACTGCCACGCAACAGCGGTTGAGATAAGGTCAAAAGCTTGGGTTCATGCGAAACATCAGTTGACGACAGAAGCTTGGCTGGAAAATCACTAGGCCAAAAAAAATCTGCTGCAGATTCTTCCCCGCTAGGCCTGATCTACGACAGACTGGACAATAAGCATTCTGTTCTGCTGTATTTTTTGTCTGTTTGGCCCTTGTGCCGTGTGAAGCTGCCGAATAACGGCATCACAGTCACAAGCTACGAGCATGTTTATGAAGCGTTACAGTAACTGCTTACCCCGTTGGACTCTTGCGACGACCACACATTCGACTGCACTTGGACGCAGACTGGAGCATGGTGGGGTACGTTGTGCTGACTGCATTGCATTCCTTCAAAGCTCACATGGAATGCAAGCCTTGCGTTTTGGCTTGGCATGCGTGCTCAAATGGAATTGGTGCTGGATGGATATTGCATACCGATGAGCTTCGGTCTGGATGGTGGAAGCACGTAGACACCATCTGGCGTAACATTCTGCCACGAGTCGCATTTCGAGAATGTGCGGTTCAAAGTCGGCAGACGAGTCGCGGAAGTTTTTTAGGGGTTGAATGCATTTTGCCAAATTTGTCCGCCGTGGGATGCGGAAAGTTGCCAATTGCACCACGAAAGAAAGAAACCGCACGGTTGAGTTGAGAACTTGAGTTGAGAACTGTACAGTTTGAGAGATCGAAGCGCGTCAAGACATGACCTGACCAGCACGTGAACATCGTGAGGGAGATATTCTGCATTGGTGTTACGGGTGCAATGAATCGAAGTAGCGAGAATTGCACTAAGGTGTCAAACGAGTACAAAGATGTGAGCGAAGGCATGAGCGACCATTTATATGCGAAGCATGCAAACGGTAACGCGGTGCGTGCGAGCTAGCCAGTGCTATGCTGGCAGCGAGGCTCGGGCTAGTCCCGAAGCGTAGGCCGACACGGCCGGGCCAGCAGTGCGAGGTTTGGTGAAACAGTGCGCGCGAAGTCGGCGAAGTTCCGTTAGCAGTAACGGGCGAACAACGGCTGTTGCTGTACGCGATGTAGTCGGGCTCCGTAAGGAATGCCGAGAAAATTCCTTACAATTGGTATACGAATTCCTCACTCCAACTCCTCGGTATAAAACGAATTCGATACAAGAGTGCTTCGGGTTTTACTGGGAACAGCTTGTAGAAGCTAGCCACGCTAATATCTTCACGGTAATAGATCATGTGCTCCAACGATTTAGGCAAGTCCACATTGACCCGCATCTACTGCAGCAAAGAAGCGAAGCAGATTATACAGGAGCAGATGTCGGGAACCTTTCCAAACCAGCCCGACCGAAGCAAGTAGCTGCTCTATATCCTGATGGACGAGAGCAGATTCAAAAAAGTGTCAGGCAGGGGCGAACAGAAAGGGAGAGGATGAAGGGGGGGGTCGGGGGTGCTGGAGTTGAGAAAACAGCCCGACCTTACGAACGTTTTTGAATTCATAAAGAAAAACCGAAGGGGGTTTGGCGCTTAAAGAAAGGAAGGGGTATATCAAAGTGCACTTACCAACAATCCACGCCGGCCAACACCATGCCATGCTCAACTGATCACAGCCGTCCAAAAAGGACATGTTGGAACAGCACGGTGGCATATTCCCCCCGTCCTGAATAAATCACCCTTTAAACAGCACACCTTTTCAGGATCAGCATTCCCGTTTCTCAGCAGCACCATGGCATGGGCCGTGCTTCCATGGCACGGGCCGTGCTTCCATGGCATGGGCCGTGCTTCCTAGATTACCCTCATGCATAAAATCAGCACTCACATTCCCCTTGTAAGAATCATCACGGCACTTACATTCCCCAGCAGCACCATCGCACACTCGCATCGCCCTGCATTGTGCAACTGACCCTTGTGCAGAGCCAGCTGCACCTCCACCCCCCCCCCCCCCCCCCCCCCTTCTCTGCTATTCCCTCTCTGACAAGCCCTCCCATTCCCCCTTGTGAGAAGAGTCAACACATCACTTCCATTCCCCAACAGCAGCACGCCATGGGGTATGCTTGAAAACAACAATGACCACAATAATGAATACTTACATTCCCCAGCAGCACCATGGCACAAGCGCATCGCCCTGCATCGTGCGACTGACCCATGTACAGAGCCAGCTGCACCTCCACTCCCCCTTCCACTCCCCCTCCCATCCCCCCTCCCACTCCCCCCGCCCCTGCCATACCCACCGGCCCTGCCATTCCCCCTGCCGCTGCCATTCCTCCTGCCATTCCTCCTGCCGTTGCACCATTCCCAACACCACCACTGCTGCTGCTGCTGCTCTGGCTGGCACCCCTCACAACCGCCTCCCACCCCTCATCACCCAGACCACTCGCCCCATTCACGCCTCTCCGATCCCTCACCACCACCCCTGCAGGCGAAGCTTTTCTTTCCAAACCTCCTCTTTCCAAACCTCCCCTTTCCGGACCTCCTCTTTCCAAACCTCCTCTTTCCAAAGCTTCCCTTTCAGGAGAGTTGCTCCTGCTGCCTCCCCTCCGTCCGCTCCCTTTCTCCCAGCCACTCCCCTTGCTCCCCCTACTCCCATTCCTTGGCAGCAGATTCATGTCACTAGCAGACCTATACAGCAGCTGCTGCCGCTGCTTCTGCTGCTGCTGCTGCTGCTCAATCTGCTGAGGGAAACCAACTCTCCCTCCCCCTCCTCCTCCCGCTCTGCCTCCTCCTCCCCCTACCCCTCTTGCTCCCCTTGCTGCTACCCCTCTCCCGGCAGTGCCACCACCCACCCCTGCCCCCTGCAGGTGCATCAGTTGCGCCTCCACGCGGGCAGGGGGGTGCTGGTCCACCATGAGGCAACGCGAGCCGGCAAGGAGAATGGGGTAGCGGAGGGGGAGGTGCAGGTAACGCGCACAGAAAGAGACGAGCTGGAGGGGGGGAAGGTGGGGGTGGGGGGAGGGGAGGGAAGGGGAGCAGGAGAATCAGCTGCGCTTCCACTCTGGCAGGGGGGTGCCGGTCCACCATGAGGCAACGCGAGCCGGCAAGGAGAATGGGGTAGCGCAGGGGGAGGTGGAGGTAGCGCGCACAGAAGCATACAAGCTGGACGGGAGGGAGGGGGGAGTGGGGGGGGGGGGGGTGTGGGAAGGAGGAGGAGGGGGGAAAAGAGGGGAAGGGAAGGGGTGCCGGTCCACCATGAGGCAGCAAAAGCAGTCCAAACCCCCCTGGCCCCTGCCCCCCTGCAGGTGCATCAGCTGCGCTTCCACTCTGGCAGGGGAGAAAAAGAGGCATGAGGCAGAAGGGAGGAGGGAGGAGGGAGCGGGTTGGGGTAGCGCGGGGGAAGGTTCAGATATCACGCACAGAAGCATACAAGCCTGAAGGGTGGGGGGAAGAGGATTTTTGAAGCGCCTCAAGTAGTGCGGGGGGTAGGTTCAGATATCAGCACAGAAGTCTATAAGGTTGGAAGGGTGGGGGGGAGAGGGAGGGGGTCAGGAGGAATGGGAAGGGGAGTGAAAGAGGCATGAGGCCGAAGGTAGGAGGGAGCAGGATGGGGTAGCGCAGGGGGAGGTGCAGGTAGCATGCACAGCAAGGGAAGAGCCTTTACGTGCACACAACCGTTACCACCCCTAGCAGCAAGGGAAGAGCCTTTACGTGCACACAACCGTTACCACCTAGCAGCAAGGGAAGAGCCTTTAACGTGCACACAACGGTTACCACCCCTCTAGCAGCAAGGGGAGAGATTCTACCTGAGCAGTCAAGTTCAACCCCAACGCAGCGTCGTGCCTCTGCGCCGCACCCTCTTCCGTGCGGCCCCTCCCTAGCCCGCAAGATCGTAATGAGGTGCATTTTGAGGCGCCTCAAAATACACCTCTCTGCGCCGCACCCTCTTCCGTGCGGCCCCTCCCTAGCCCGCAAGATCGTAATGAGGTGCATTTTGAGGCGCCTCAAAATACACCTCTCTGCGCCGCACCCTCTTCCGTGCGGCCCCTCCCTAGCCCGCAAGATCGTAATGAGGTGCATTTTGAGGCGCCTCAAAATACACCTCTCTGCGCCGCACCCTCTTCCGTGCGGCCCCTCCCTAGCCCGCAAGATCGTAATGAGGTGCATTTTGAGGCGCCTCAAAATACACCTCTCTGCGCTGCACCCTCTTCCGTGCGGCCCCTCCCTAGCAGACCTTCCATGCCTCCCATGCCTCCATGTGGCAGACCTTCCATGCCTCCCATGCCTCCATGTGGCAGACCTTCCATGCCTCCCATGCCTCCATGTGGCAGACCTTCCATGCCTCTGCCCACAAGATCGTAATCACTACCACCCTCCTAGCAGCAAGGGAAGAGTCTGAGTAAGGGAAGAGCATTTACTGGAGCAGTCAACCCCAAAGCAGCGTCATGCCTTTGCCTCTCACCCTCGTCTCAGCCACTGCCCCCTCATTCAACCCCAAACGGTGTTGTGACCCTATCTAGCCCACACCACAACACCATTACCACTGATCTAACTCCTAGCAACAACGGTATAGCCTTTACCTGAGCAGTCAAGCCCAAGGCAGCGTCGTGCCGTTGCCTCGCGCCCTCGTCCATGCCTGCCCCTCCCCCACTGAACAGTGACTGTAACCGAGGTGCCGTTATCAGCGGCAGCCCCAATATAGTCACATCCACTGTTGTTCCTGCAGTCTCCTTTTTCTTCCCCTCCCCCACCTCCCTTCCTTTCCTCTCTCCTGTACCAGCTGTTTCCTCCACAGCTTCTGAATTTCCAGTCCGGTTTTCAGTTACATGCAAATCAGTAATATTCTTAACCTCCCTTCCTTCCCCCTCTGCCTCCTCGTTTCTTCGCCCTCTATCCATCAGCATACCATCACTGTACACCCTCCCTTTCTTCTTACTCTCTCCAATATCCTCCGCAATCTTACCCCTATCGTCCCCACTCTCCCCAATATCAATCACACTCTTTCCCTCATCTCTCTCCCCTCCCCCTCGTCTTTCCTCCCCTGCCCCTGCCCCTGCCCCTGCCCCTGCCCCTGCCCCTCCCGCGTCCCCTCCCCTTTTACCCCAGAAGCCCCACCCGCTCCCCCAGCTGCTATCCGCGCTTGCCACGTGTCTCAATGCGGTTGGCGGAATGGGGGACGAGGCGGATGAGGGACGGGCGGTGGAGGAGGAGGAAGCGGAGGAAGAGGAGGAGGAGGGGGGTCGAGGAGAAACCGAAGCGGAGGAGGACGAGGGACGAGAGGAGGGGGAGGAGGAAGAGGGGGAGGCGGAGGAGGGGGAGGGGGAGGAGGGAGAGGGGGAGGAGGGGGAAAGCGGGATGATCCCCGCCAGTTGGACCAGCATTCGTCGTCGTCTAGTGGCCAGCCGCCTTCTCACTGTCAGCTGTTGCTTCGAACCTTCCTGTGACAGAAATCGGTCCGCTTCCTGTGGGTGTGATTGTAAAGGGGGGGAGGGGATTAGGGGGGGGGGAGAGAGAGAGAAAATTGGATTACAAAGGGGAAGGGGATGAGACGGGAACAGGGAGAGTGGTAAGGATGGGCTATAAAGAAGGGGGCAAGATGGAATTACAAGGGGTAAAGAGGAGAGCATGGGAGCGCGTGGGCATCAAAACAAGGTCAGACATTAACGGGGCTCGCTGCTAGTCGGATTAACCATCCCTTTATAACTCAGCGTGACCATATCGTACCACTAATCTTGTCGAGGCAGCTCTTAACGAGTGTCTCGCCTCCTTGAGCTCCGCTCTCCGCCTCTCCACATCCGCACGCTTGTCCTCCACCTCACGCTGGGCTCCCGCCACGTCAGCACGTAGTTTGTCCAGCTCGGCGCGCCGGGCGGCGACCCGCGTGTGCGCGGCGACTAGAGCCTCGTGACGGGCCCAATGAGCGGACGACACGTGGATCGACTCGTCTAGCAGGTCAGCGGTCTGCTGCCTCCGATTATTGGCTACTCGGATTACCTCGGTTGCTTCCAGAAGACACGTCAGCATGCGTTGCATCTCCTGCCACGTCACCTGGGTAGGTGTCGTGGCCATGTCGACGTGGGCGACAGAATTCACTACTATTGGAGCGACGAGACGACTACGAGGTCTGAGATCATGCTCTCAAAGTATTTCAGTACTAAGTACACCGGAGAACGGTGTCGCGAAGTGCTCAATAGCGAGTATATCCAGCCAAATAACCATTTCAGAAACCGTTTTTCGTCCCAAATGACATAACTGGGTCCAACGCTGATATGAACAAGAAACAATAATCCCACGCACCGGGAGATGATGGGTCGAGATCGAACAGCACTCTCCCACGACTGAGAGATAATCACACAGAATCGGGATATTACTTCCGCTTAGTGCTAACGAGCAGTTTGTGCACTGCTGATCCACGTGTCGTGATGTGAAGCACCTCCTACATTTTAGGAAAAAGAGCATCACGGTAAACAGGCGGGAATGGTGGGGGTGGGTGAACTCGGTGCAGTTGTGAGCTCTCGGTGCACGCGAAAGTAAGACTTCATTTATTGTTTTGTATCACTAAAAACTTCGGGAACTAAGTAATACCTTCGTTGAAAACTTCAAAGAGATTCTCGTTTTGAGAGTGTATTGAGAAGACCTTTTTACTCATGGAAATGCACACCAGTGGTTCTGGAGATGAATCCCACACAGAACAATAGCGGGTATGTTCAGGAACTGCAAGCAGTGAAGTCTGTGCTTCTGCCTTCGACGGCAAAATTACCAGCGCGACGACTATCTTGACGGTAATTGCGGCATGGCGTCCTCCGACTCGACCATCCGTCCAAGCGCCGATCCTGCTGAGCGTACCGTGACCTCGTTAGAATCACACGCCGAACCTGTCGAATCCTCGTTAGAATCACACGCCGAACCTGTCGAATCCTCGTTAGAATCACACGCCGCGAAACCGAACCCCCCGTTAATATCACCGCCGTCTGGTGACGTGTGCCCGATTTGCCTGACCCCCTTCGCGGACTCGCGATTCGAGCCCTCGTGGAACCTTGCGAACGCCGATAGGGTAGGGCATCCCGCGCAACCCCGCACCAGCGACCGATCGGCGTCAGCCGCGCAAATCGAATCCAAATCGGTGGAAGCAGCAAATTCCCCCCTCCCCGCTTCCGACAGCTCACCCTCTTCCGCCGCTTCGCCAGTGGTAACCCTATCGCCAATCGTCGCCCTGTCGCCCTGCATGCACCGCTTTTGCCTGCCGTGCATCCGCGTCTGGAGCTGCGCCAGCCGCGCAGATCGCGCCATTTCCACCAGTCGCGCCAGCTGCGCCTCCCCCCTTCCCCCCTGCCCCCTCTGCAAGCGCGCGTTTCGCGGCTGGTTCCTCCCTGCTGCCGCTCCTGGCCGTGACTCCCGCCATTGTGACTATAACGGGAGGGAGAATTCCAAGCCTAAGCAGGACATAGCTGTAGCACCTGCACAACAATGGGGTGTGTTTCAACCGCTACCTCCGCTAACAGAACAAGAACCTGCATCTACAGTAAATGCGTCTATAAGAGACGATGCGTTTACGAGCACACTCGCTACAGTCACATGGAGCGAGGGGTTGGATGAGCGGCTGAGGCAGGAGGCGGCGAGCAGAGGGGTGCCGGAATGGGTGCTGCTTCCTGATTGGTCCACTGTGGGCGGCAGGGTGCACGGGCAGCCGCAGGGGCAGCAGAACGGGCAGCAGCAGGACCAGCAAGGAGGCCAACGGCAGGGGAGGTGGAATCTGGCTCGCAGACGGTTACAACGACTCAGAGCAAGGTGTGAGCTTGTTTGCTTGTTTGCTTGCTATTTGACTAATGTTTATTTATTGCATCATTATATTTACGATTATTATTATTACTACTACTATTGTTATCAATAGTTTCTTATTTTACGATGGGTTGTTGTGGGATGAGTGAGCAACGGCCTTCATCTCATATTTGTGTGCAATGCAGGCGTCGCCGGGAGCTGCAGCAGCAGCAGCAGCCGACACGCAGTCAGGGCGTGCAGCAGCTGTCACCATACTTCCTCAGAATGCAGCGGCGCCTGCAGTCCAGTCACCATTAGGAAAAGGAGCAGAAGTACTAACCATTGAAGCTGTAAGCACTGAAGCTGTACCAGCCTCAGAGTTGCTGTCAGGGCGTGCAGCAACTCTCTCCGTGCTTCCTCAGAATGCAGCGGCGCCTGCAGTCCAGTCACCACAAGGGGAAGACCTACAGCAGAAGCAGTGAAGTCATTAGCAGTAAGAGCATCAGGAGCTGGAGCAACAGCAGGTAATGCAGCAACAGCAGCAGAAGCACTGGCAGGGCATGCAGCAGCCTTTATTGCAGTGGCGCCGGCAGTGGAATTGGAGCATTAAGGAGCAGGAGTGACAGCGGGTGCAGCAGAAACAGTTGCAGAAGCCGACCAGCAGCCAAGCCATGCAGCAGCGCTCTAAAACCTTCCTTGAAATGCAGCGATGCATGCAGTCCAGTCACCATTACACGAAAAGAACAGAACAGGTAACCACAGAAGCAGTGACAGCATCAGGAGCCCAGCAGCCGACCTGCAGGCAAGCATGCAGCAGCTCTTTCCACCCTTCCTTGAATTCAGTGGCACATGCAGTCCAGTCAGCACTAGATAAAGGCCGAAGGAGCGAATCCTGAAGCAGTAATAGCGTCATGAACTGCAGCAACAACAGCCGACCCGCAGGCAAGAAAAGCAGCAGGTGTTTCTGCCCTCCTTGAGATGCAGCGGCATATGTAGTCCAGTCAGCACTAGGGAGGGGCAGGAGTGAACCCAAGAGCAGTAGTAGCGTCATGAAGTGCAGCAACAACCGACCCGCAGAGGCAAGCAACAGCTGTTCCTGCCTTCCTTAAGATGCAGTGGTGCATGCAGTCCATTCAGCACTAGGGAGGAGTGAACCCTCGAGCAGGAATAGCATCAGGAACTGCTGCAGCAACAGCAGCCAATTAGTGGGCCATACTTTCTTCAAAGGGGGTCATCACTTGAAATGCGCAGCAGTAACCGCGAAAGCCGTAGGTAGCAGCAGATTAGAATGTTCATTTCCGTTGACGTGTAAGCCCATACAGTGTGTCCTGTTGTGGTAAAATGAGCAGCACAGGTGTGCATGCCATTGGCAACTTTAGACAAACAAAGAGAGTGGTAGTAATATGACACAACACAACCCCTACATCAACTCTGATCTGAGCTTAGGTCCAGAGGGTCTACCCTGCTCGCCTCGGGCTGCCATGCCATGCCATTTCCGGAACACCCGTACTGCCCGTCTGTACCTCCGGATTCTTTCACCTGCCCTGATCCACCTACGGTAGGTGCCATGCCATGCCATTTCTGGAAAAAGCCATGTGGTATGGTGGTTGCAGGTCTGCTGAATTCTGGCAGAGATGGATGGGAGGAGCTGTTTGGATGGATGCAACGGGAGGGAGGTGAGGGCAAAAAGCTACATGGCATGACAGGATTGGAGGGGCACGGCGGGGTCTCTGCTTGATGGGATTAGCTAGCTGGAGCTTGGTTTGGGAGGTGCCCTTGGGGTGTGAAGCTGGAGGCTTATACCTGGGGCCTGGGGCTCGGAATGGGGCTTGGGTCTGGGGAGTTGAATGGGCATCATACTACCACCTGTGTGCATAAAGGGGATTGGGAGTTATGATGGAAAGAGAATGACGACGGAAAAGTTAGCTGGAAATAGTGGACGATGGATGGAGGCGGTGTAGTTGAGGCGGTGTAACGAAATAAAGGAGTGAAACCCGTCGCCTGCGAATTTCACTGTCTGCTCCAAATCGCCTTCTTCAGATGCGAATGCATTCGCCTGATCATCCAACCAATCTTCAGGCACAAGCACCGTCCGCTCCACCCATTTCACGAAATTGCTTTCCAGCTGTAACCAGATGCCCCGAAATTCCTCCATAAACCTCCTTGGATTCAGGAACCAGCCTCGCCCAATGAGCTTGATTCCCGCCAGTAACTGACATGTAACTCGTCCCCCCAACCTGGCATTCTTCATTCCCCCTTCCCCCAGCCTCCTCATCCTGATCCCTCCCTTCCCCCTTCCCCTCTCCACGCCCCTGCGCCTCCCTTACCCATCCCCATTATGCCCAAGTCCTCCGCATAAACTCCGCATCGACTCCGCATCGACTCTGCTTGCCTTCTTCTCACTGAAGCGCATTCTTCTCCCCCCTCGAATTTCCGCCCTTTCTTCCCCTCAGTTCCCCTGATTTTTGTCCCCTTCAGCGCAACTTTCGAAACTCCCCTGAAGCAGCTGCGCCCTTCCCCAGAGCTAACCCTTCCACCAACTACCGCATGCATTCTCGTCATGCGGAGAAAAAGTGCGGCCGAAGTATTTAGGACTAATCAGTCCTCGCTAAGGTTTCAAACAACGCCGCAAATGACGCCGCCAAATCTCCTCGTACCAGCATTCCAAATCTCCGCTCTTTCTCTGCCGAGTAGCAATTCTGACACGTGCGCTGTCAGGAATTCACAATATTTCGGCCTTGCGTCGTTGCGAGGTCTAATTAGGAAGCGTAATGCCACGTGCTTTCACGTGGAAAACAAAAAAAGCGACGTGCACCCATTCCACGTGGCCGTGCTAACGAGGATAATACTTCTCTAACGCTGCTGTCTCCTAGTTATATAGAAAAAGAAAATAACTTAGCTACACCGTCGTCGAATCTACGGTCTCCCAGCGATCACTTTTCCTTCTTATGCGGCTGGACGCGCACAAATTACACCGCAACGCAGCAAGCCAGCAGCCAGGAAGAAAGAAAGAAGTCCCCTCAGCTTATCTGTTTCCCAAATCAAAACCCCGCGCTCCCGATTCCTATTCCTGGGGCTCTACTCGTGGAAGGACACCGCACCGACACCAACCAACAGCGTTCACTGGAAAACAAACTTCCGCAGCCCATCTCAGCTGCTTCCCTTTCCGCACAGCAACGCTGCTTCCCAGTCCCGCCTTGCTAGCAGCGCCTCATGCGCCAGCCGCTATGGGTACGATCATCACCGCGTCGTCCCGCGAATCTGCCTCTATCCGCACGGTAACTGCGTCAGCTCCCCAATCTGCTTCTGTCGCCGTTGAATTTTCCATTCCTTGCCGTTCCGCGGCTGCCTCTGCTCCCGCTATCCCACTATTGTTCCCCTTGCTCCTCCCGCGGATTCCGCTCCCTCTCCGCCATCTGAAGTCTCGATGTGCTCACCGGGTTCCGTCCGCACGTCGTTTTCTTGGGCGGGGGCTGTGGCGGGGCTGCGGAGATCGCGGCGGCAAATGGGGCAAGTGGTTTTGGCGGCGAGCCAGAGGTCGATGCAGTCGGCGTGGAAGCCGTGTGCGCACGCCGGCACCACCTTGATGCGCTCGCCCGCCGCGTACTCGCCCAGGCACACCGCGCAGTCCTGCAGGCTCAGGATCCCCTCGTTAGTGTCACGATCGTAGGGAAGAAGCGCGGAAGCTGCGACTCCGCTGGAGTCCCCTCCTGGCTGCAAATATGCCGCCGCGATGCCGCCGGCTGTTGCGAGATTCGATTTCCGCATTTCGTTCTCCGGGCAGAATATTATCACCGGCAGCTTTTGAATCTCGGAAGCATCGAGTCCGGGTTTCGCAAAATCCGCATTGAATCTCGCGACCACACGTCGCTGAGAATCGCTCGTGCCCGCGTTCTCCTCGTCCGGGCCTAGAAACACGCAGTCGGGGCGGCGGTACAGGTAGACGGCGAAAGAGATGACGAAGACGAGGACCATACACCCGGAGACGGCCGTTGCGAATGTGAGCGGCGAAATGATGGTGCTTTCCGCGACGAAAGTGACGCAGCGAGACGCACAGTCCGGGCCAGGCGGCGCGGTAGTTGTAACAGCAGAAGCGTTCATCTCGTCCAGTGAGAATGTGATTTTACAGACTCGCGTCGGGATTGCTCGCTACTACGGAATGGACCAAGCAGATAGCTCATTTCAAGCAAAGCCCTTTCTCTAGCTCCTGCTTGTTCTGTGGCAAAAATATCGTTCTGAAAGCTGAAAAGGCAGGGGCGTTGTTCCACTATTCTGCACGCAGGAGGGAGGGAGGGAGGGAGGGAGGAGGGTCGCCCGCCGCTCACCCTTTAGGGCGGGTCCGAAGTGAAGTCGACATCCGTCGACATCCGATGTCGGTAAATCCTGACGGTTGAAACTCTCGATCCGAGGGTTGACATTTACCGACATCCATCGACATCCATTCGACGCTTCACTTCGGACACGCTCTTACCATCTTCGAAGCGACAAGACGGAGGTGAGAGGAATTGGATGGATGAGGTGAATCGTTTGGGTCAGGCAGGTCAGGTGTGCCCCTGAAGCAGCAGTGAAGTGGATCGAACAATCGAGCCCCTCGTTTCCTTCACAGCGCTAATCAATGGTGCAAAGTGATCCAGGCAGGAAAAAAACGCTAACGCACCCCATTCATGAAGCTCTTGTGGTGCGAAACAATGAATATGGCTTTGGCCTTGGTGGGACTGGACATTTCTGCACTGTAGTTCAAACTTACTGCTGTCATGCTAGCTGCCCGGGTTGAAGGCACAGAAATAAGGGTGCTCCGTGTGTTGTATGGTGTGCATCCCCTCGCCTGCTATCACAGCAGCAATTGCTCCGCAAAGATCCAAATTCTCGTGCAGAAACTCGTGTGGTTGCAGCTCACCCCCATTCGCTCATTCGGGCCCGATGAATCTCATCCGCTGCTCTTCTCTGCGGCCCATCATCGTGTGGCTTTCGTTGTGCTGGTTCGAGGTGACTTCTGCCGGACCAGGCCAGCCAAACAATCACGACGACTTTAGGAAGCACCAAAAGTCAGGCGTTCGTGTGAAGAAGAACGGGGAAGCATTTCTCGACGAATCAGTGTGGGCGCTACTAGCCAAATGACAAAAGCCTCCTCAAGGGTGGTGTTTTGATAAAAATATGACTTCGGATCAGACTACACCCACTTATTCGTTTATCTCACCGAGCGCGTTTCGGTCGGAGGTGCTTGTTGTTTTCGCCCGGTGCTTTTAACGTTTGCGAGTCACATTTCCCTGCGTATTGCCGTCCCTTGCTCCCAAAATGTGGCTATAAATACGTTTTTGCAACTGTAGGCCGGCCTGACCTAATCATAACTAATAGATTTGGCCTCGTCTTTAGCGCGAATGCGTGCAACTGTAGTGCTCTGCCACCAATTTTCTTCAACGTTTAGCAATTCAATGCTGAGCTGATCACGCGTGTGAATCGATTCTATGTGACATAAACGCAACTTCTATGTGAACGTACCCGAGCTGGTGGCACAATCGCGGGTGCATCAAACGAATAAGTGGGTGTATAGTGTCACTTGCATCAATTAATCAACAAACATCAACATCTACCAATTCATCAATCAATAGTTATTTCTAGTGATTTTTTTTTCAAATAATGTTAAATCATATTACTCGCGCAAATCTTTATCATGCATATCAGTCAAATTGTTTTCTCCTACATGAAAGTTAGTGCTCTATTTGGAGACGCATTAAAACGAGGATGTACAGAAGTGTTTTTCACCAGCCACAAGCCTTCTCAAGACAACAAATCGAAGCCACGAATTCGGTCCTCATCCAGACAGCGCAGGGAGCCAGGAAGGTGCAACCAGGAGTCGCTGACAGACATTCGCCTCACTGACAACCGAAAGTGCCCCCCACCGACCATTCGAGAACTCACACGTGTACAATTCCGGTGACTGCCTTGCGAGGCTGTTCTCAACACCCATCCCGGCCCTTCTGTACTGTTGAAGAAACTTCTGAAATCATATTCACCGAGGTGAAACTACGACGGACATGAATGTGGTTCTAGACCTAGAAGGTGAACAGCTTGGGCGAAGCAAGCTGGCTGTTTCGATGGCTTTCCCCTGAATCCAGTTTCCTTTTGAAACCACTTTCAATGGCTCCCGTGTTGAATGTATTTTAGTTCGCATCTAGTGCAGTTCTGTATTTTCCTCCCTGGCCATTCGCGTGCGCCTTGTTCATGAAAGCTGCGAGGCTCTTCGGAATTATCCAGTTTTACTATGTGGTCAATGAGTGAGGAAGGCGTTTCTGATAGATTCTTTCTGTTTGTATCCATTCTTAAATCCTGGTTAGATGCAAACCAACTGTCAAACCGCCTACCCCACACCGTCCTCGAAACCGTCAGAAATACCTCGTGCCTACAAATATGGAAGGACTCTGTCGCAAGTATGCTTTCGGTTATTATACAGAATATTCTAAGGCATCTGAAAGCATTGCAAGTTTGACTCCGTACCAGTGGTTAGATAGCGTTCGTGTGACAGCTTGGTTCTCGCCAGCCTGCAGTCCGACCGTCTTATCTGCCGTTCCGGCGTCCAGCCATTTCGTCTGCCGATTACCACGCAATGGCTTCGTGCGACCAATCCGCGTTTTCAAACCCTGGCCGTGCCGAGCCAGCGATGGCCAACAGCAGCTCGCCTAACGCCACGTCAGCCCAACCACCGCCACCGCCGTGCACGCCGATGGTTCCAGTATCCGCGGTCATGTTTTTCACAACCATTATAGCATTCGTTATCATTGTAGTCGCTTCAGGCCTCGTCGTCCATATCCTACACAAGCTGGGGTGGTTCGCCGAACGCGAGCCTGCGACAGAACGACCAATAGTAGCTGCTCGACTGTTGATCCTTCGTGAGACTGCGAACGTCGCGAATTCGTCTCAGGGGTTGGATCCTGCTGTGATTCGCTCGTTCCCAGTTTATACCTTTCGCGATAAATTCGCCGATCGCGACGTTACCACCGAGACGAGTGGATTAACCACCTTTCACAGAATTAGCCGTGAAATCTCGCGTTCCTTTGGCTCCTCCCGTCGACTCAGCAGAGAATTTTCGCTCACACGCTGCCCCTCCCGAAACGACTCCAGCAAGGGCGGCAGCGAACTGGCCACGGAAGGCACTGGCGAACCTGGCTCGAAACGAAGCGAATTTGTGGTAACCATCGAGAGCGACGACGAGGCGATGACGTGTCGGCGCGAGTGCGCGGTGTGCCTGGGCGAGTACGCGGCGGGCGAGCGCATCAAGGTGGTGCCGGCGTGCGCACACGGCTTCCACGCCGACTGCATCGACCTCTGGCTCGCCGCCAAAACCACCTGCCCCATCTGCCGCCAAGACCTCGCTCCTGGTAAAGCCTCCATTGCTCCCACCATCATCCCCATCACCCAAGCAGCCTTAACGGCGGATGTTATTGCAACCAACGGAGGGGTAGCAGAAGGAACGGGGGGTGAGGGAACATGGGCAGGGCCGGCGCCGCTACACGAAGCAGCAGCTGCAGCAGCAGCAGCAGCAGCAGCAGCAGCAGCAGCAGCAGCAGTGCGAGATGAGAGAGCAACAGAACCAGCAATGGAATGTGAGAGAAGCGCAGCAGCAGTGGGAGGTGAGAGCGCAGCAGCAGCAGTGGGAGGTGAGACTGCAGCAGTAGCTTTGGGAGGTGGGAGAACAGCAGTAGCAGACACAGAGCCAGTCCTGGTTGCTGAAGGCAGGAGAAGGGCGGCAGAGGCAGACTGAATATTTCACACTCCTTTTTGGGGCTCGTTCAAAATAGCAGCTGTAGGAGGTGAGAGAGCAGCAGTAGCAAACACAGAGCCACTCCTGGTCGCTGAGGGAAGGAGGTGGGCGGCAGAGGCAGACTGAGTAATGAACACTGGTTTTGAGGCCCCTCAGAAATAGCAGCTGTGGGAGGTGTGAGAGCAGCAGTAGCAGACACGGGTGACAGGGCCAGTCCTGGTCGCTGAGGGAAGGAGAGTGGCGGCAGAGGCAGACTGAGGAGTGCACACAGAAAACTGAGATGGATTTTTCGTGCGAGCAGTGGACATATGAGTTGGCTCAGGAGCAGGTTGAGGAGAGGGGTGGCAAAGGCGGATTGAATAGTGCACAAAGAGGGCCGAGGTGGTTTCTGTGCCTGCACTGCGGGTAGTGTTCAGAATGAAGCTCATAACATAGACATGTTCCTGTAAAAGCTATGTGAGGATGTAGCACACGGGCGACAGCGCAGGCGAGTGTCAGAACAATGATGAGTTGTGTAGACACGGGGCGTTCTTATTGTCATTTCAGTCAAAATTCTAAGGGTACTGGGGTCTGTGGAGAACTGATATGAAGGAACGGCAGTGGGCCTGACAATAAGGGCGTGTTCCTACGGCCCCTTATCAGGGCAACCTCTTATCAAGCTCGCTACTTTTCCCCCTGAAAATTCCCTAAACCCAAAAACCCTCGCTACTTTTACCAGGCTAGGCTGACAAGAGCTTTGCCTGATAAGAGCGTAGGAACACGCCCTAAGAACAGATGAGGGAGTGAACCTTTACAAGACCGGTCTTTTAGAAGGCCGTCTGGAGCAGTGCCCTAGATATCAGACTTTGGAGTCTGAATCAGAGTCCGTTCAGACTTTTTTTTTGTACCTAGTCTGAACTCAAAGAATTTATTTATGTACCTTGTCTGATTTTCCAGAGTTTTTTCTTATGAGCTGTCTGAAATTTCAGCCTAATTTTACTAGGGTAGGCTGAGCCCCAGACTTGTATCGGGGGTACACTCTGCGCGCTTATCGGAGCAAAGTTTCCTAGAAGTTTCCTTCCGATATGCCCACTTCCGAGATGGCAGTGGAGTGCCAGGACGTGAGCAACGCTCACTTCGACAGCTGGGACATCCAAATACACTCGTTCGTCGAGAATATCTTCCAGTTACGCTGAGGAAATGGTTGCGTGATTACGAGATTTCTGAAGACAAAATCTCGTCACATGTAAGTTATCGCTAATGTATTGTAAAGAATAGGCGACTTTGATGCTGATTCGCTGTAAAAACATCTGCAGCACGCACTGGTGTGAATTGCGAAGTTCCTGATTCGTACTGAAAGTTTCGTGTGGCACTGTCTGATCCTCACATGCCACGCCAAGCAACAGTTTCTGCCTGCTGCCAGCTCAGCTGCGTGGCACTTGGCCCACCTGATACAGATCGGGTGAACGATCGAATCGCTTGAAAAGCAAATCCAAAACTGACAAAATCGGCACACATGCGAGAAAATGGGTACAGAACGGTAATCACACACACGACAAAACGAAATGAGATCAGCAGAGCAGAAACAACCATGCGCTGTGTGAAAGTTTAAGAGGAATTAAGAAGAAGGAGGGTTGCACTAGCAAGAATGAGGATACAAATAGCAAACCCTAGAAGGGTTGTACTCGCTATAGAGCACCCCACTACAGGCTAGAGCATAATATTCTGACACACCCCCATAGCCAAAGTGGGGTGTAATCAGCAGAGCAAGCAAAGCAGTACAAGCTCAGGGTGGATCACAATGTCACCACACATTCTGAGCACACGTTCAAGAAGCAATAGTTTAAAGTTCACAATTATGAGCAAAGCTAGAGGCTATCGCAGAGGGCAAGTGAGGAGGAGGAGGGACTGTGGGGGAGAGAAGATGGGAGGCGACTGCTGACGCTGCAGACACACAGACGAGCTGCTGGCTCAGTGGCTACCGGAACAACGCTCCGGAATACTGGGGTAACTGGCCCCGCGGCTAAAAGTAGCGGCAGACGAGCAACGGACCCACGGGCGACTGGCGACTACCGGAGATTGTAGCCTCCGGACTGCTGCTGCTGCTGACGACAAGACTGCTGCCTCCACTCGACCTCCCCCAAACAGTACCACCCCTCCTGACACACACCCGCTGCTACACCGCTAGCTCCACTCCCCCTTCACCCCCCCTTAGCACCACTCCAACGGCTCCAACAAGTCCACCCCCCCTCAGCGGCAGCTGCAGCACAGGGAGACGGAGGAGGAGGAGGAGCAGGGAACGGCACACAGTAGTTTCACCCCCATACCCCTCACCCCCAAACCCTAATTCAGGAGAACGGGCTGTAGGAGGGGTGGGGCGCCAGCAGAAGCACGGGGGACAGCGGGGAGGGCAGGGGCAGCGAGGAAAGGGCCGCCCACGGGCCTGGCACAGCTTCCCGAACCGCGCGCAGGCGGCCCGAGCCGCGCGCGGGCCTGGCGCAGCCCGTACGGGCCGCGCGCGGGCCTGGCGCAGCCCGTACGGGCCGCGCGCGGGTCTGGCGCAGCCCGTACGGGCCGCGCGCGGGTCTGGCGCAGCCCGTACGGGCCGCGCGCCGGCTGTACGGGCCGCGCGCAGGCCACGACGGGCGACGGGGGGCGACGCGCGGGTCCCCATCGCCCGTCGCAGCGCCTCCCGAGGGCGACGCGGCGAGTGACGGGGTAGAAGCCCGCCGCGCGCCTCGGGGCGCACAGCGGGCAGAGAACCGCCGCGCGCCACGGGGCGCACGGCGGGCAGAAAACCGCCGCGCGCCTCGGGGCGCACGGCGGGAAGAAAAACTGCCGCACGCCACGGGGCGTGCGGCACAGAGGGTAGGAGTGGAAGTTGCAGCGGAAGCAACGAGGTGGTGAGCCCACCCACAGGATCGATCCAAGGGGATCGACTTGCTCTGATAGCATGTGAAAGTTTAAGAGGAATTAAGAAGAAGGAGGGTTGCACTAGCAAGAATGAGGATACAAATAGCAAACCCTAGAAGGGTTGTACTCGCTATAGAGCACCCCACTACAGGCTAGAGCATAATATTCTGACACGCTGCACGTGACAAAAACACTGGAACGCCGCCGACATGAGCAGAGGCGATGCACGAGCACGAGCACGTTGCCTGATGCGTTGGTATGGTAGGCTGTAATCAGCCTCAATGCTATTATAACTGCTTTTACGAAACTGCATGAACATCTTAAAATTTGAAGTAACTCTGACAGTTCAGACAAAAAAAATTGTGCTTGTCTGAATTTTCAGACTAAAATTTTGAGGCACCTCTGACAGACAGAGTTCCAGGAGGGGTGTGTGAATCAAGAAAACAGGAATGAAAATGACTAAGTGAAAGTTGGGTACAAAAAAGGCAAACCCTAGGAAACTATACCCCATATGTGCTACTCCACTATAGCCTACAGTAGCTATGTCAAATAACTCTGACACACCCCCATAGGCAAAGTGGGGGAGAACAAGGGGTCACAAGACCAGTCAAGCAAAGCAAAGCAAGCTCAGGGTGGATCACAAAGTCACCACACATTCCGAGCACAAGTTCAAGGCCACAAGGCCAGTTAACATGCAGGATTACATATATATATAAGGCTAAACAAGCAAGAGCAGGAGTATATATATATGCAACAGTACAAACAAGGTCAAGAGGTGAGCAAGTGAGGCAAGGTAGGCACAAGACCCAGCTGAGTACAGAAGCGCTGATGATCACAAGGCGCAAGTGCCTTGGTGAAGATATCAGCAGTGTTGGCCTCAGAGGCCACGTACGCAAGTCGCAGCTGACCACGCTGCTGTAGCTCACGAGCAAGGAAGTAGCGAAGAGCAATGTGCTTCGTTCTGTGCTCCAGTCTCTGCTCTCGACAAAAGGCCAGCATGGCCTTGTTGTCTACGTAGAGCACTGGAGGAGAACAAGGCGGCTCTCCGAGGTCAGTCAGCAGGTAGGTGAGCCAGCGAAGCTCCTGTGCAGCCATGGCCCCGGCGTAGATCTCAGCCTCGCAACTGGAGCCGAGAACAGAAGACGAGCGAGTAGCCCGCCACGAAACAGAGCCGGAACCAAGGCTGAAGGTGTAACCCTGTGACGACCGCTGCGTAGCCTGGTCGTCAGCCCAAGAAGCGTCTGCGTGTCCAGTGAGGACCACTGGACTCTGCCCTCCAAGCACAAGCCCCATGCCCGATGTACTGCACAAGTAGCGCAACACCCTCTTCGCTGCAGCCATGTGCTCCGGTCTGTGTCTCCCAGGAGCAACATAGCGTGCAAGAATGCTAAGAGAGTATGCAAGGTCAGGTCGTGTGCAGGTCATCAGGTACATGAGGCAGCCAACAAGCTCTGGGTACGGGCCACTCGACTCTACGGACTCATCCGAAGGCAGAGCTGAGAGCGAGTGGCGAGTAGGCAGAGGAGTGGCCTGAGGCGAGGAGTACGTGAAGCCGAAGCGCTGAAGGACCTGCTGCACCATGTGTGACTGAGTCAGGGTAATGGTGCGGCGTGCTCTGTCCCGGGTGATCTGCAAGCCAAGGTAGCTGCGCAGTTCACCCAGGTCTGTGCACGTGTGTATCTTCTGTAGCTCGGACTTCACGTGGGCGAGTCCAGCAGCGTCAGCTGTGGCAAAGACCAAGTCGTCGACGTACACGAGGATGTAGAACGGCTGCAAAGAAGTGTCGGTGCGCAGAAACAGCGACGGGTCGGCAGTAGAGGGAGCAAACCCAAGAGCCGCAAGTGTAGTCCTCAGTGTGTCGTGCCACTCATGCGGTGCCTGGCGGAGACCGTAGACTGGCCGCCGGAGGCTCCACTGGGTGCCAGGAGGAAAAGACCCAGTGAAGCCAGGTGGGCGACGCAGCCAGATCTCCTCGTGCAGGCTGCCCTGCAAGAAAGCAGTGCTGAAGTCAAGAGAGTGCAGCTCGTAGTCGCGGTGAGCAGCTATGTGCAGCAGTACCCGAAGAGTGGTCATCTTCGGGGTGGGAGAGAAGGTCTGAAAGTAGTCAACTCCCTGCCGCTGACTGAAGCCACGAGCCACGTAACGCGCCTTGAAGACAGGCGGAGAACCCGGCGGTCGCTTCACCCTGAAAATCTACATGCCACTGACGATGTTCGCCCCAGGCGGGGGAACCT